GAACAGCCAGTGGGCTCTAGCTGCAGGCTCTGAAAAGGGGCTGGGTTCCTTGAGCCCTTTTAACCCTGGAGATTTCGGGAAGGATAAGGTTTCCAGATAAAATATGGGATGCCCAGTTGAATTTGAATTTCAAATAAATAACACATAATTTTTAGTGTAAGTATTTGTCAAACATTCCTGGGGGTAGGGGTGGGCGGCGCCTGGGTGGTGCAGTTGGTTAAGCCCCTGACTCTTGATTTTGGCTCAGGTCAGGAGATTGAGCCCTGCATTGGGCTCTGTGCTCAGCGTGGAGTCTGCTCAAGATAGTCTTTCCCGGGATCCCTGGGTGGCGCAGCGGTTTAGCGCCTGCCTTTGGCCAAGGGCGCGATCCTGGAGACCCGGGATCGAATCCCACGTCAGGCTCCCGGTGCATGGAGCCTGCTTCTCCCTCTGCCTGTGTCTCTGCCTCTCTCTCTCTCTCTCTGACTATCATAAATAAATAAAAATTAAAAAAAAAAAGATAGTCTTTCCCTCTGCCCCTCCCCCTGCTCTCTCTCTCTCAAAATAAATAAATAAAATCTTTAAAAATATTCCATGGGATATACTTATATTTTTAAAGTATTTGATTCTTATCTGAAATTCAAGTCTAACTGGATGTCTGTCCTATTTTCTTACTTGCTAAATTTGGCAACCGTTGGGGGTGCCTCACTGCCACTGCATACCAGGGCCTTGGGGATTTTCCTCTGCCTGAGACCACGTTAAGAACAACTTCTGTATCCCTAAGCCTGCCTGGGGCTTAGGTCACCTGAGGAGATAAGCTCTGTCCCCAGTAGCCTCCAGCTTCTGGCTCAGCCTAGCCACTATGGCTTCCCACCTGGTTGGACATCCTGCTGCTTCCGATCATGGGACCTAATAAATGAGGTACCAGGGCTGTCCTTTGGTCAGCAGCATTTGCCAGGGTGTCACATCCCGGCCCAGGAGGTGGCCCGGTATGTAAGCTCTGCCCTGGGTCTAGGGGATGAAGGTAGGAGGTCAAGGTTGGGGGGATGTTTCAGAGGCTTCCTGATAGGAAACCCCACACCTGGCCTGGGCTCCACAGAGTTGAGGGGCTGTCACATGTCTGACCTCATTTGACCCTCACCATGTCCTTGTCAAGTGAGCAAGGAGGGTACTTGAAGCTGCCTTCTTTATAGATGAGGAAATGGGCTGAGAGATTAAGTCTGCCCAGAGAGTTCAGGCTCCTCTTAGCATAGAGCAAAGTGATCAGCCAGGCTGCTGCTTCAAGAAGTATGAGAGTTGGGGACACCTGGGTGGCTCAGTGGTTGAGTGTCTACCTTTGGCTCAGAGCATGGTCCCAGGGTCCTGGGATTGAGTCCTGCACTGGGCTTCCTGTGGGGAGCCTGCTTCTCCCTCTCCCTATGTTTCTGCCTCTCTCTCTGTCTCTCATGAATAAATAAATAAAATCTTAAAAAAAAAAAAAAAAACAAAGTATGGGAGTTGGCACTCTTGGTGAAGTTCTTCCATTTTCACGGTAGGGGGCAGACCTGAGGCCATGCTCTAAGAACTAGAAGGACAAGGCCACAGCCCTACTCTGGCCCTAAGCACAAAAGGCAGGCTGGCAGCTCTCACTGAAGAGCTTGGAGGGCTTCCTTAGGACATATCTATACCCCTTCCTGGGCATGCAGTGGGCAGCGGAGAAGACCTCCCTGAGGCAGCAGGATGGGTGCTGAGTACTGTGAGTGAGGATGTGGGTCAGTCACATCAGAGTCTCAGTGAATGTTGAGCCAGACTTTGAAGGAGGAAGACACAATGGTGTGTGTGGCTGAAACTGCATATGTGAGGAGTTGTATGTATTTATTCGAGAAATATTTTCTGAGCATCCACTGCATGCCAGACACCATTCTAGATCCTGGGGATACTAAAGGATAGAATAGATGTGCACACACAGATGCCTCACAGATTGTTCTCTCTTGTTGTGAGTTGTTTTGACCTCAGCAAATGTAATGAGAAATTGAGCCCCTTTACCAGCTTCCAGAAAAAATCCTTGTCTACCAAACATGGGTGGGGGGCTTGTTTTACTGAAGATTTCCTGCAACAGGGCAAGAAAGATGTTTCATTGTGTGAAATCTTCTCCCAAGGCCCCCTTTGGTCCTGCAGCTCCCTGGCCCTATACCTCCCTCCCTCTGCCTCCCAACCCTAGCTTTCCATCTGGCCAGCCTTTCTCCAGCATTTCACACAGACCCCAGTCTTGGGAGGGAAGGCTTTTTGTCTCTTTTCTGTCTCACTGTTTGGCCTTGAAGGACATGGCCTCAATCTGCAGGGGCCCCTGCTTTCTGACGTAGAGATGTTGTCTCTATCCCATTTCCATTCCACTTCTCAGAATTATTCCAAGTGAAATGAGCTTATATATGGAAAGACTTCCTCAGATCTCTAGCACTGTGGGTCACGTCAGCCAGAGACACACTTGATGGCATCTTGCTCAGTGTTAGATCAGCCTGGGGAAGACCAGGCCCTCGTGTTTTCTAAACTCAGGAGATGATTGTCCTTATGGGAGTAAAGGTTCCCTTTATTTTAGATTAGATGGGGTTTAGCACCTTGTTCTCACTCTTGTTAATAAAATAAAAAAATAAACACACACTACCATCAAAAGAACATTGACAGCCTGTGTTTATGTGTTTGTGTTGTGTCTGTCACTAAAGCAGCAACTGCAATGTAGATTTTTAACAAAATGAGTTTTCCCTCAGTGCTGGGGAGTATGATAATTAAGAAAAAAAAGGAGAGCAGATTCTTCTACTGTGTCTTTTCAATCCTGCTTTCTCTTCCTTTTCTTCTTTTCTCTTTCTCCCTTAAAACAGAGGTGTTGACCTGTCTGTTAATATGACCTTGGGGAACACCTGGGTGGCTCAGGAGCCTGCTTCTCTCTCTGCCGATGTCTCTGCCTCTCTCTTTTTGTCTCTCATGAATAAATAAATTAAATCTTAAAAAAAAAAAATTGACCTTGGCCATCTCTGACAAGGCCAAGGTAGATAAACTGGATTCCAAGAGTGCTGGTGCTCACACTGCAAAGGCTCCAACTGGGGAGCCCGGCAAATGCTCTCCTTCCTTCTGCTGTTGCTGGGGGTTTTAGCCACTTGTCTATCCTGCCCTCCCCTCAGAGGTCTGCAGTGTGATCTGGACCCTGAATGTGGTGCCTCTAGTGAGCAATGTGAGCCCCATATTGGGTGTAGAGGTTACTAAAAAAAAAAAAAGTTTGGTCTATTGGCTGAAAGTAACAGGAACCATTCTAATTAGCATGAGCCCCCAGGGGTAAGGTGTTAGCTCACAGAAGCTGACTGTGGAGCAGAGAAGGAACAACTGGGTTCCGGGAGTGGACACCCTTGGGACTTGCCTTCCCCTCTTGGGTGTTGGTTCATCCACAGCTCTCAGGGCTGTGCCAGAGAGAAAAGAGAGAGATCTTCCCACCAGCTTCAGGTAGGAGGCTCCAGCAAACAGTGACATATCATTTTTCAGTTGTTGGATTTCAAAAATGTTAAACTTCGATAATCTCAACTATTGGTGAAAGGATGAGGAAATGGGGACATTAATGCTCTGCTACCCTGCTGGAGGGCGGTATAGGTTGTCCCAGCCACTCTGGAGGGAAATGTGGCACTATGTATTATTATTATTTTAAATGTGGGTACTATTGATCTGATGGTGCCACTTCCCAAAAATCCAGATTAGTAAATCTCACACATGTGCATAAGGAAATAAATGCAAGGATGTTTCTTGAAATGCTATTTGTAGAACAAAAATAGGAATAACTTAAATGTCCATCTAAAGATGGACTGTGGTATATTTTATACTCCAAAAATGGTGCCAGACACCATTCTATATCCTGGGGATACTAAAGGATAGAATAGATGTGCACACACGGATGCCTCACAGATTGTTCTCTCTTGCTTGTGAGTTGATTGTTTTGTTGAAATATGTACTGACATAAATCCCTAAGACATCTTAGCAAATAAGAAAAGTAACTTGCAGAATGATGCATATAACATGGCATCACTCAAGCATAAATGAAAATGAAAATAAGACCTCGAAATAATAATAGATATGTGTATTTGTATGTTTTTTTTCACATATATTTCAAACTGTATCCAAATGCTTACAAAAAAGTGATGAGGAACTAAGATTAGGGTGGAAATTGAAGGAAACTGTCAGGTTTGAAGTTTTTCAATGATAGCATATTAGTGTATAATTTATTTAAAATTAAAATTGAAGAGGAAAGAATGATGGAAGCATCCTAATTGGTGTAACTTGGATCATGTGATTATTCCTAGACCAATCAGTGGCCAAGGGGCTCCTAGGGTTCTGTGATGCGCCCCAGCTGGGGTGTTCACCCCTGTGAATACTGGGACAATACTCATGATTGACAGTTCCTTCTATAATTACATATTGTAGTGGGAAAGAGCCCATTCCCTCAAAGAAGGGAGATGCTGTTCTTTTCTTTCTTTTTTTTTTTTTTTTGGAAGGGAGGTGCTGTTCTGGGCAGACAGAATGGTAAATCTCTGTAGTGAAAGCATTTGGGCCAGCATCATCTATATGGATTCATGTATGTGCCATCAAAGACTGAAATGCTTCATTCAATATATTTCTATTACAGTGTGGAATAAGGATTTGTATTCTCACTGCTATATTTCCAGAACTCGTGAAAGTTCAGGTTATATAGTAGTTGCTTGGCTTAGCAGATATTGGTTGAATAGAGATACCACTATTATCATCTATGATTATTTTAATAGTAATCTACAAATGGACCAGCTGACAGAGACAACTTCCCCCAAATGCTCTCAGTAGGGACAGAGGGAAAAAGGAAAAAGAAGTCAAATTGCCAGCTCAGGACTCCTCCCAAGGCCAGGGAGTCACCAGGACACACACCTGGGACAGTTTGGCAAGGACCTGACAGAGGCAGGGGGTTGTTCAGGGGGAATGTCTGCAGCCCAGGCACTCATCCTTCTCATGGTTAAATTGTGTTTCCTTTCCAGGCTACTCACTTTGCAAATGCTCTCTTAGCCTGTGTTATAGCCTCACCAGGTGTGGAAGATGGGGGCCACAGTAGAAGAGAAGATGGCAAAATGGCTTGGTTACCCAGGGTGGTCATCTGAATGGTCACCTTAAGTCATCTGAATTCTTTCCTTATCTGCAAAGTGTGAATGATATCATAAAGAATCTCTCCCTTAGCCAGTGGTAAACATGTCCCTCCATTATCCATTGGTAAACATAGAGGCATCAGCTGAAACCCTGAGAGGTCTTGTTTTCCTGAGAGAGCCCACCATGGTGAAAGGAGTCCCAAGGATTGAGCCTTGGGGGGTGCCCCCAGCAGGGAAGGAAGGACTTGTAAAGGACACAGTGAAGGAGGAATAGGTGGTCTCAGGGGAAGAATAACCAGGAGCTTAAGGTCAGGAAAGCTAATGATGCAGAGGGTTCCAGAAAGGGGGCACCAGCAGTGTTATCACTGGTGCTGTCAGAAGGAGGCCTCTCTATCAAGAAAATGCTTCCAGAAAACAAATGAGTGAGGCTGGAAGCCAGCCTGCAGAAGTGGCAAGAAGGAAATGGCTTCCAGTTCTCTTATCCCCACTTCCCAAGACTGGGTAGTCCTTCCCCTTCTTCCATTCTCCTCCTGGGTGCTGGCTCTGCCTGAGGAAAAAGCTGGTCGCCCCAGGTCTGCAGGCATGGAAGACTCAGCTCCAAGCCTCAGGCCTGACCCAGCCCTCATTACCCCCTCTGCAAGAGAACTGGATCCTGCTGGGTCCTGCACTCACCCCACCCCTCTATTCCAAATAGCCTGAGATGCTGCCTGGAAGGGGGTGACCAGCTAGAATCCTTCTTCCCAGCCTGGCCTCCCTGGGCCCAGTGGCAAATGAGCTTCCTTTAGCCAGGTCCAGAGTGTGTCTGCTCCAGGACCCCTCTGTGTCTTGGGCATGTGTTTACTCTCTTTGGGTCTTTCCCCGGCCAAGTAGGTACCCCCAAGCCCCGTGCCTCTTCTGCTACAGTTTCCAGAATGCCTCTCACCTGAGCACTTTTCCTGAGTGGAGAAATAGGATGATCTTAAGACAGAGCAAAGTATTATATAAACATCTACATAAATGTATAATTTATAAATGGTATAATATACATATGTCTATATGTTTTATATTTGGGGATTGAGACTTTACCATAGAGATAAAATTTTGTATCCCTCCCCCACCTTTTTTTCACAGAATGCCAAATCAGAATCATTTTTCCAGGTCATAGAAAACGTGTGAAGGCATTTTAATTAAGGCCAGGAGAGACCAGCATGGAAATCAGTGTGTATTTGTAGGCAAAGGAGGAGGTGTGAGTGGAAAAAGAGGCTTAGAGATGCAGGGTGATAGGTCAGGCAAGAGCCCAAGTGGAGCCTGAGCTGGGAGAGAGGGCACCAGGGCAGTTAGAGCTGGAGGTGTCCTGGATCAGGAGGTAGACTGCCCCTGCTTTCACTCTCACTCCTGAGCTTCGGGACCCCCTACAGACCGGCAGTGAGTCCACATTCTTCAGCTTTGGTGGATTTTCTGGTTGGAGAATCATGAGAATTTAAAGTGTTGCCACTAAACAGATCTAGTTGCTGACCATTTGAATCTTGGGCTGAATTTGGCTTGGCTGAGTCTTCCATAAGAAACCAATGGGAGCTGGAGGTGTGCATATCTGGTTGAAACTAGAAACCCAAGCCAGGCAATTTATTAACTAAGCAGATCCCAGGACACATGTTCAAATGCCTGTCCTTCACTCCCCAGTGCTCTGTCCCCTCATCAGCCCTGTCATCACTGATCACCTCATCATCCCACAGCTGAGATTCTGCACCAATAAACACCTACCTCCACCTCCACCTTTTGCTATGGTCATTACCCAGCATTTGATGAGTATCATTCATTCTGTCAACAAATATTTATTGAGCATCTACTGTGTGCCAGACACTATATTATGCTGGTGTTACAAGACATATCCTTGTCCTTAAGAGGGTTGCAACTAAACAGAAACTAGCTCAAGGGACAAAAGGGATCACCAAAACTTTGGCTGGGTAATAGACCCCTCTCTGAACTGATGACAGCTTTATACACCTCCCCAGAAAAACAACATGCTTGGAAATTTGCCTACTGTTCAAGGTGGCAGATTCCCTGGAAGCCCATTTACCTTTTTTTAAAGATTGTATTTATTTATTCATGAGAGACAGAGAGAGAGAGAGAGAGAGGCAGAGACACAGGCAGGGAGAGAAGCAGGCTCCATGCAGGGAGCCCGATGTGGGACTCAATCTCGGGACCCCAAGATCACGCCCTGGGTCGAAGGCAGACAGTCAACCGCTGAGCCACCCAGGCATCCCCCATTTATGATTTAAACATCTTTGTTCCCCAAGTTGTAAATGGTTTATCTGATTTAAACTTCTCATTCTGGGGATCCCTGGGTGGCGCAGCGGTTTAGCGCCTGCCTTTGGCCCAGGGCATGATCCTGGAGACCCGGGATCGAATCCCACATCAGGCTCCCGGTGCATGGAGCCTGCTTCTCCCTCTGCCTATGTCTCTGCGCCTCTCTCTCTCTCTCTCCGTGACTATCATAAATAAATAATTAATTAAAAAATTTCAACTTTCCTAATTTAAAAAATTTAAATTGGCTGTAGAGTCCATTCTTCAAAAAAAATAAAAATAAAAAAAAATAAACTTCTCATTCTGTAGATGGGGAGACTCAGACCTAGAGAGAGAAATTACTTGTCCAGGGTCATGTGGTGGGTTAGGGACTGAGTCAGCCTTTGATGCCCGGACCACTGGCTCCCCAAGCACTGCTCCACCAGGCTTCTTCTGCCTTCCCTGTTGGCTGGGAGAACCTGGCTGGAGAGGGGTCCCGGGCCAGTTCCCTTTTCAGCTGTCAAACCTGGGGCTGCCCAGCCTACAGGCCTCCTTTTCCACCACTTTACTGCCCCCTCAGGGATGTAGGCCAGTGGTCAGGAGTCCCTTGAACAGTTGCTCTGACCCTGACTACCTGACTGGTTCCTCCCAGACGTCAGGGGAAATGTTCTGCAGAGAACAGGATGTGTTTTCCTGCAAAATCATTTGTCTCACAAGATGATTTGCATACTGGTAGGGATACAAATGTCATTCCCTGCCCATTTCCTCCCTAGGGAGAAGTGTTCCCATCACAGCTTTCCCCTTGAAGGACAAGCCCAACCCCAGCCCCAGTGGACAACTTCCTGCTGGAGGGATTCATACATTAGCAAGTGCTCCCAGAAGTAAGGAGTCTCCTTTCTTGCCTTCTCCCTCACCCCACTAGGCTAGAGGGGGCTCTAGTCTCTAGTTTGACAGACGGTCTGCTCCTTGATCCCCAGGACCCTAGGCATCTACCTTGTTCTTTAGAACACTTTCTTGCAGATAAATTACTGAAAATTCAGCTACTGGAAGGGAGGCTTGAGGTGATGTTAGGTCAAATATAGTAACACATACTTAGTGCTTATTACACGCCAGACATTGCTCTAAGCAACTTAACTGTAAATTCATGGGATCTTCACAGCAACCTAATGAGCTTGGTTCTATTATTTTTTTCCATTGTCCATATGAGAAATCAAAGTTCCAAGAGGTTAAATAACTTGCCCAAGGTCACAAAGCTGGTGAGCAACACAACCAGAATTTAAACACAGCCAATCTGCCTCCTAAATTGAGACTTTAAATACTATGTTATAAGAGGGAGAATTAGAAGGTTGAAGGTCTATCTAACCCTGGAAGGCTGTGCTGTAGTCTAGAAGCACTGACATGGAGTTAGGTTCTCCTATGATTTGATATCAGCTACCTGGCTATCCCTCCCTGCCTTCTACCACTATGATCCACTGCCTAAACAGTCTGTGAACATGCCCCAGCTGGTCCATACATATTGTTTCCTCTACCCGGATACCACTTCCTCATTTCTGTCTGAAATATCTCTTTTTCTACTGAGAACCTCTAAAAAACCCCTCCAACATCTGTAGACTGAGGTGGGTGGTCTCCTTATTTTATTATTATTTTTTTTTTTTAGAGTGGCTCTCATCATTTTGCCTTCCAATTATTGGCTAAGTCTCTTTTGCTCCTAGACTTCACTCCAAAGGGCTAGATGTCTGTCATTCATTTCAGAATCCTCAGCACTAAACCTAGCAATTGATATGTGGTAAATACTCAGCAGATGTCTGTTATGTATAGTGAACAAAGTATGTTACAAAATAATATGCACAGGGGATCCCTGGGTGGCTCGGTGGTTTGGCGCCTGCCTTCGGCCCAGGGCATGATCCTGGAGTCCCGGGATTGGGCTCCCTGCATGGAGCCTGCTTCTCCCTCTGCCTGTGTCTCTGCCTATCTCTCTCTGTGTGTATCTCTAATGAATAAATAAATAAAATCTTAAAGAATATATGCACAGTATACTAAATATTGTATTATGTTTACTCTAAATATATCACCACCCAGATCAATCCCAAATGTTAACAATGATTTTCACAGAATTTGGGGGTTACAGGTGGTTTTTATTTTTTTGCATGTCTGTATTTTCCAAAATTTCTGTACTGATCATGTATTACCTTAATAATACAAAAGGAAAAATAAATTATTTGGAAAGTATTTTTGAATGGATAAAGCTAATATTTATTGAGTATTTATCACATAAACTGAGAGCTATATACAAAGATTAAGAGCCATACATGTACTGATTCTAATATAACAGTCCTCTTTGATAAGTACTATTGGCATAATTACCATTTTACAGATGAGAAAACTGAGATCAAGAGTTGAGCCCAGCCAAGTGCCCCCACATATTATTATTATAACAGTTTTAGTGAGGTATAATTCACATTCTATACAACTCACCCATTTAAGCTGTATGATTCAATGGCTTTTAGTATATTCACAGATATATACAGCCATCACCACAATTTTAGAACATTTTTATCACCTCAAAAAAGAAGCTCTGTACCCTTTAGCTAACTCCCCCCACTCACCCCAGCCCTAAGAATACATGAATCTACTCTCTGTCTCTATAGATTTATTTGCCTATTCTGGACATTGCATATAAATAGAATCATATATGTCATTTTTGTGACTTGGTTCTTTCACTCAGTGTAATTGCTTCAAGATTCATCTATATTATAGTTTGTATCAGTACTTCATTCCTTTTTAGAGCCAAATAATATTCCAGTATACAGATATATATATATACTACATTTTATTTATCCATTTACCAGTTGATAGACATTTCAGCATGTACATTGTGACTATTAGGAATAATACTGAACATTGGTGTACAAGTTTTTGTATGGACACATGTTTTCATCTCTCTTGGGCATATACCTAGGAGTGGAATTGCTGGGTCATATGCTAACTATATGCTAACTGTTTAAGGAATGATAATATAATCATCATTTCTTTTTGTTTTTTAAGATTTATTTATTTATTTGAGAGAGAGCAGAGGGGGAGGGGTTGGGGAGGAGCAGAGCGATGGGGAGAGAGGAACTCAAGCAGACTCTGCTGAGTGCAGAACCCCACACAGGGTTCCATCCTATGATCCATGAGATCATGACTGGAGCTGAAACGAAGAGTCTGACTCTTAACCAATGGTGAGACCCAGGTGCCCCTATAATTATTATTTCTAAACCTTATGAGAATAGGTTGCAGATGTGTCCTTTTATCCAAATACTTTGGAGAAAACAAACCAAGAACTTTTTTTCCCCATTTTTATCATAAATTTCAATAATCAAATTTAGGAAATTTAACACCAATATAATATTACCATCTATGATATAGTCCCTATTTAAATTTTGCCAATGACTTCCTTTATGGCAGTTTTTCCTCTGATCTGGATGCAGTCCAGGGTCACCCAGTGCATTTAGTGGTCATCCTCTTTAGCCTTCTTTAGTCCCAAACAGTCCCTTGGCTCTGTTCTCTTTCTGTTGCTCTGGAAAGAGCCCTCAGTTTAGTTGTTTCTGAGGTTTGGGTGGATGAGTTTCCATTGTCCATTTGGTAGGCACTGAGGCCAAGCTGTGTAGCTGCAGAAGGGAGGAAACATGGCTGGGCACACACCTGACCCTTGTAGTCAGACCTGGACGCAGGGACCTTAACTGTGTGGAAAATTCCTCCCCTGGAGGATCTGCTGGGAAGTGCCTCAGGAAAGAAAAGAGGCTTTGTGGGGGGTTCTTCCTCAGCCTTCCCCAGGAGCAGCTGAGAGCGGGAGGGATATGACTCCTGACCATGTGCTTCCTCATGGCTGCACTCAGGGCTCCTAAGGGCTAACCAGTCTGAGCCCAGCCTGAAAAAGACTGCAGTGAGGGACACCAGCACGTCCGGGAAAGGGCAGAGGGGGGAGACCAGCAGTCCCAGTGCTAGGAAGGACCTGCCCCTTCTGGGAAGGACCCTGATGCAAGTGCCCACCCACCCCCACCCCCTCAGCCTCGCCCTGCACTCTTGCTTCCGGCAGCCCCAGCTTGATTCTCTGGAAGGCTCCTGGGGGAGGAGATTGCAGCCTGATTCTAATCAGAGCACGAGATAGAGATTGGGAGCTGGAAGGCAGTTTACTTCCCTTGGCTCTGAGCCTGCTTGCTCCACAAGGACTCCCAGCCAAAGGCCCCACCAACCTTTGCAAGAGGTCTTCTCAGAGTTCTGTCAACATTATTGAGAAGAGCATAATCTTTAGTCCTGCCCCACAGCTGCCAAGCAAAATTCTACTTGAGTCAGCTCTCTTTCATTTATTCTTAGTTCATTCATTCATTCATTTTGCGGTTGAAGATCCCTGTTCCTCATCTTTCCTCTCCCTCTTGGGAAAGAGGCTTAGTGGGGCCTTCTCGAGTGGCAGGCCTGCACCGGCCTGCTTCTGTTGAGAACATCTGTCCCCCCTCAGCCCCACCCACGGCCTTGGGTTCAGACCACCTCAGGGCTGAACTAACCCCAGCTCGGTTTACAATGTGGGTGACAGACACCACTAGGGAAAAGGCAGAGCCTTAGGGAGCCAGGAAGAAAGGACTAAAACAGGGAGAGGAGAAAGGAAACCCATACTTCAAGCACATAGTGTGTCAGGAGACCTGTAGGAACGTCATTGTTTTCTGAGTTGATGCTCAGATATCCTGCAGACATGCTCTATTCTGTCCTCACAGAAAATTGGAAAAGTTCACGTGAAAATACAGATTTCTGATTTTTCTGACAAATAAAAAGATCTGGGAGCCCTGAGCCTGTGTTCCATGTGGCAGCCATGACTGAGTCAGGAAAGCTTTTTGTGGGAATTCTCATCACTAGTTCCATCACCTGCCTGTTCCCCCAAGAGCACCTGTGATCTCATTCAGGCCTTCCCAACTCCCATCGAAGAACATTAACCCAATTCTATACATGAAAAGAGCAAGGGGAGAGGTCAATAGCGTATGGCCCTAGGTCATAGCCAGGGAGAGACAGAGCTGGGAGTCTTACCCCTTTTCTTCCTGGTCAAAGAGCTGGTATTCCCAGCAGAAGTTGGATGGACTTCAGATGTAGACGGCAAATGAAAATCTGCCCACCCAGATCTGGGGCCTCCTAGGCCACTGCAGAGTCCTGAGCTTGGCTAAACAGCTCTTGGCCGAGCCTCTGGAGAGGCAGTGCTTTACCAGAGCCTGGAGCGGGAAGTGCTTGGTCAACGGTCCCACAGCAAATATGGACAGGAGAGAGGCCTCAGGCACCTTGGCATGGGGGCATTGACCTCTCTGTGGTCAGTCTGGTGGTTGCCCTTCCTGGCTTCTCTCTCTTCTCTGGAAACAGACTCCCTTTGGCGGCATTTTGCTGCATTTGGCCTTTTGGCCACACATGGTGCATCCTGATGGCTCAACAGTGCCAGAACCACTGTAGTCTGTAAATCACAGCATAGTCCAGTCCAGTGAGGCTTCCTCGAGCAAAGCACTCTTTCTCTTCCATTGTACATTCTCCTCCCGGAAAGGCTGGCCGACTCTTTTCTTAGATGGGCTTGGCCAGTCCGCCCTAGCAGTTTCTAGGAATGAATGGAGGGACAGCACCTTAGGGTCACGGGGCATCAGAGGAGGCAGGGTAACTGCTAATGAGAATAGTTCAGTTGTGTATGACACTCTATATAACCATTTCACATCCATATGTATTTCATTCTCATAATTTTATGAGTCAGACAGGGTAGAACTGGCAAATATGATCATCTACGGAAAGGGCACAGAATATTGAGTTACCTTCTCAATTCTGCTACTTACCTTGGGCAAATTCACTTCATCTTTCTTAGCTTTTATTTCTCATTGATTTTTTTTAAAAAGATTTTATTTGACACAGGGAGGGGGAGAGAGAGAGAGAGAGAGAAAGAGAGAGAGAGAGAGAGAGAGAGAGAGAGAGAGAGCACAAGCAGGAAGAGCTGTAGGCAGAGGGAAAAGCAGGGAGCCCAATTTGGGACTTGATCCCAGGACCTTGGGATTATGACCTAAGTCTAAGGCAGATGCTTAACTAACTGAGCCACCCAGGTGCCCTATTTCCTCATTGATTAAAAAAGATAATAATCTCTCCCAGGCAAGGCTACTCTGCTTTATAACTCCAGGGAGTGCTATTCACATTAAGTACCAAGAGATAGGTCTCCTTGCTACTATGTGATGGGCCCCCTTGCAATTGTTCACAGCATGAAACTCCTCATGTGTATGTTGTGAAGATTAAGTGACATGATTTATGCACCAGCAGCACAGGGCCTGCGAGATAGTAGGTGATTAACAAATGCTTGTCAAATGAATGAACTGCTCACTCAGTCATGATGCCTTTTAAGAGGAGCTCACAGGAAGAAGGAAGTAGTGCTGGCTCCCTGTGGCTGGTGTTGCATTTCCTGCCCATTTTTCTGTGACTCCTGCCAAGTTGCCCTTTGTCCCAGGCCTCTGGGCTCCCAGCCGGCTGGAGGCACAGACTTATCTATGGGGCCTGGAGAGCTGGGCCTGGGCCGAGTAATGACCAGCCTTCCGCTCACTTGAAGTTTCCGTTGGGGGGCTGGAAGCCACAGCATCCAGATGGCTAATTGCTTTGTGCCTGTTTCTGCAAATCACAGTGATTCACTGTCCCTGCTGAAAACATGCTCTCTTTTCAAAGATTTAATGGTTTCCAAAATTAATTTAGCCTCATCTGTTATCCCCCTGCCCTTCTGCACTGTCCCCTCCTCCCAACACCCTCCTCCACCCCAGGATGGAGCTTTCTGCTCCAGAAAACTGGCTTTCACTCTGTAGGGTATAGTAGAAAAGGTTGGGGAACACAGAACACTTTCCAACTTTCCAGGGTCACCTGAGCAAATACTAAGTGTGGAGTTTTTGAGTAGAAGCCCAGGAGGGAAGGGCTTGTGTGAGGAGCACTTGTCTCACCATCCTATGTGTTTTTGGCCACCCAGCTCAGGTATGACTGACGCTCCAGAATCAGGAACTCCAAGAAGCTCCCATTTGCACTGCTTTGCTTGTAAAACTCCCAGACATCATCTGTTTTCTACATGTGAGAGACATGGTTAGTTTTGTTTATTGTAGACAGCTCATTATGGGTCCATGAGACCTGGAGGCCAGAGCCTTGGCTAAGAGAACAGAACTTTAGGGAATTTACTTTCA